TCTAAATACTCTTAGAAAGTACATATGACTCGGAAAAATCACATTGATACTTGCCAGGGCCAGGATCGAACCCGCGCTCTCGTGCATGAGAGGCGAGCCTTTTCAAACACTAGGCCACCACTGACTAGACAATATATAAGAATTTTTATATATACATATATACATTTTATATGACAGCAGTTAAATTAATTATTTAGTGTTTAAGCTACAATAATGCAAGATTAGATTAGAATTTATTGTATCATTAATATTATGTCATACTAGCTTTTATATCTGGTTTCAACTAAATGTTATTATTATAGGATATTTATGTAATACTTATTAATATTTGCTGTGTACGTAAAATGATTCTCAAACTGTAAAACGAATGAACTTAAACCGCATTAAGTACGGACAGGGTTCTAAAAACAGTCATAGGATACATATTCATATGTAGTTGTATATGATTATCTTATATTTCTTTGTATCAGTACAATAGCAAAGAATCTATTGTAAAATTAAGATTAGTTTGGTGTAATAATTTCGCCAGTTAAAATTATTCTTTTTTTGTTTTTAATTAATGAGTACCTAATACAAATATCCACTTATAGATACATATACTTTTTATAGAATATGGGTTTTGTTGATGCTATGTATTTATATAATAACTACATGTACATAGTAAAAATATTGTCGCAAAATATTCCACGATTTCAGTGCGAATTAAGAAATTACATATACCAAGTCCTATGTTTTTACATATAGTCAATAAGTTCATCATTATCCATACATAAAAATCAATGCATTATTACATGGAAACTTTTATATGTGTAATCATATATCGATACATTACAATCAATTGGTTTATATAGAAATACTATCGACATAATGGTATTTTATGATAATAATTTGTGAAGATAAAACTTAATAATTAATTAATTATTTTATAATAATATTCTAAAGACATCTTTTTCTTCTATCCATGTTAAATTAAGTTCGAATTTGTTTTTCAATAAATGTTAAAATAATTTTAATACACTAGCTGTTACCCGCGAATCCATCTGCATAAAAACTATAAAGGAAATAATAAAAATAAAAGCGGCGTATGCGCCCCGCCTCCAACTCACGCCTGATAAAGCCTAATTTCGGGATCGGGATAAAAATTAGCCTAAGTCACTCCTTATTACATCAGCTACCTGCTAATACAATTTACGTCAAAACCGATCTAGCCATTCCAAAGAATTGCGGAAACATATAGACAAACAGACACAAAAATTGTAAAAGATATGGTTCTATATATTTTGGTGTATGTGCTATGCACCGTATAATGACAGACACACAAATTTTATTTATATATATGAATTTGAATTATGTATGTACATATAAAACAGAAGAGCTCGATAAAAAAAATATAACTTGCAGAAATTGGTATGACTTTTTTAATATACCGTTTAAAATTAATATTTAGATATATGTCTGTTCTTTATCTAATTATAGGTACATTGAAGAGAAAGTCAAGTAAAAAATATAGCTTTATATACAGTGTGAAAACGTAAAGTAAGACCAGAAAGGGGTGTTAAGAGAATATGAGTGTACGACGTGTGAGTAATAAAATGACAGTGTCTGATGTATGGAGGTTAGAGAGACTTTATTTTGACCCCAAATTAAATAAAATAAGGCTACGAGATAAAACCTAATCTTTTATATATAGGTACATGAGTATGTATAAAAGAAAGTTGTGTTAGTTACACTATTTATAACTCTAGACCGACTGTAGGGATGTGGTTGAAAATTGGTGGAGATATAGCTTAGAACCAGGAGACGGACATAGTATACTTAATAATATTTGAACGAAAAAAATATTTAATAAATTCCAATATCTTGTTATTTATGGCCTATAAGACGGCATAGAGTTCTCCCGGTCAGCTATACATACATTACCTATTCCGAAATTAACGCGGACGAAGTCGGGGGCAAACACTAGTTATACAGGGTGACTGGTGAATTACTATCGATATTTGAGGACGTGATATTTGACGATCATATATGACAAAATAAAAATTATTATAACATAAATATTAATAAACTTCTAAGTAAAGTTAACCAAAAGTTATGTAATTAATTACGTGTGAACACCCTACAGATTAGGTATACACTGACACTCACACATACGCGTGTCGTGACGTGTTGTTGTATCAGCACGCCGCCGCACGCGTCCACACTTCAACACTTGGAACGTGTACACACTTTATTTATTTATACGGAAATTTGGTCAAAAATTAAGTACCTATTTTTTTTACATAATTCGAATGAGAATCATGTACCGAGTATTCTCCTTAAATATTGATAGTAATTCACCAGTCACCCTGTATATTACACATAAATTGCTCATAGTATTATTTAATTTAATATTCATAATCCAAAGATAAATGATCGTTGTTACGATTAATTTCACACATATGTGTACTATCTATATATTACATAATAATATTATATAAAGTTACGTATATAATAATTAATGAGTATTATTTGAGAAGCTATATATATAAACATATACAAAAATATATGAGGAAACAAAATCTTAAATAGTTCTAGAGATTCTTTGTAACATTTGTCTCGACCCTGATCACAACAATAGAGACGAATATTTCTTAGAAGCCAACATTATTTCTTTTCATCATTTCACCGGATTTCTTAAGGAATTATGGTGGGAATTTGGTAATATAAATATAAATAGAAGATAACTTTTTATTGACTTAAAGATATATAAGTATAAATTAATTTCTAATAAGACTTTATCTTAGAATCACTTTGAAAGTTACATACTGTTTAAAAAAAAATCCTATTGTATTAGTTACATTCAGTATTAGACAAAAATGTAAAGAAAAGCCAAATATACAATTCTACAAAATAACGGATATTAGTTTAAAAAAATAAAAATTATCATATCTTGGAATATATGTAATATCTAAATCTATAATTTTATATAATGCTGACGCAGTTTAAGCATGACGATGATATTTGGACGATTTGAATACCTTTATACGTTCTATTAATTTATTTTAAAAATATATGAAATAGTTGTATACAAGTTATAAAACACACACACACACATATGTATACATAAATATATTCGCTTTCTACTAAATTTGTATAGTGTACCATATTCTTTTATACAGTGTGTTATGTGTAACTTGTTTTTAATAAAGTCATCTATAAACATTCAGTTTAAACACAAAACACAACGGAATTTCCCCCCGTATACTGTTTTCGTTGCGTAATTCTAGTGACGTCACTCGCGTACGACATCAATTCTGTGCCCTCAGCACGAATTAGCATCGTTTGAGTTGAACAATGACAAGTTTTAAATAATTATCAATGAGAATGAATTTTCATTGGTATTCAATAGATATTACTATGGACGGTAAAGACTGAAATATTACTAGATTTAAACGTTATTGTTGCGACCTTGTTTATGCGACACGAAATAAACACACATACAACAAGAAAAACTTGATAAACATATGACGAACGTTATGGAAAATTAAAAAATTAAACAAAATCCTACCAATATAATAATGAACGAAAGTATCTATTTATTGTATGGACTTGTGAAAAGACGAAAATTCTTACGAAATGGATGACTATTAATGATATCAAATTGATGTAAAATATAATCAGCCTATCGGTGCCCACTGCTGAGCAAAGACCTCTTCTCACATAGATAGGGTTAGAGCATTAATCACCACGCTAGCTCAAAGCGGATTGTCTATTTCAAAGTTATACAAAATCAATAATAATAATTTAAAAATGTCTCTAGCAGAGAATGATATTACCATATAAGTCAATACGTGATACAAACGACAGGTATAGTAACATGAGTCACTAAATAATAAACCCGCCTGTCCTATTGTAAACGCTGAGGGTAATCATGATTCACATTTATCAATACTTATACACGCTTTGTAAGGTAACGATTTACTTTAACTACTTCTAAACATATTTATTTGATTCATAATTGAAGATTAGTTTGGTATTTTTTTTTTATATTGAAAAAAATGTATATAATTTAAATATTTTAGAGTCATAACATGTACGAGTTTCACATGTACGTGTTTTCCATACTGTGGGTCGCGACCCCTAGGGAGGTCGCGAAGATTTGCTCAAGGGGTCGCCGGTAAAAAGAAAAATGTAAAGTTCTACACTATAATAAAAACTAAATTTTAATGAGAAGGATGGGCTCGTTTATTTTTGAAAGGCATGTCAAATCGTGGCGCTATCTTAGAAATTTTAACTATCAAATCAGATTGAAATTGCAGTTTATTTCTCCTTTTTGTTTTGATGTTCCCCATTGCAGAGAATTTCTTTAACTTAAATATGTTTTTGGACTTTTAATTTAAGAATTACCTTGCCTGTCTATTGCAAAAGGGGGTCGCCAGTATTCAACCCGTAAAAGGGTCGCGATATCAAAAAGATTGAAAAAACACTGCGTAAAGGAACTGAAACGTTTTGATTAGGTAGATTTAATATAGTAAAAAACGCATAGTAACCAAAATACTGAGAACAATTTATTTTAGAGACGGTATTAGAATGTTAGTATTAGAATATACGAGTGAACAGCGTATTCAAATTATTTAAAATAATGGGAATGAGAATGGCATATGTACTACTACCACTACCACTATACATATGAGACGTAATCTCTCATCATTCCATGTATTCACGGTGCGTGTGTCGGGTCCATCGTTGTAGTGAGAGGAGCTTCAACAGTGACTGAGACTTACGACCCAGGTGTAGGTTTAAGGGACCCATATCAAACGCGTTAAACGCTCACCTCCACCGTCCAAGCTCCTCTCCCCACTAACCCAAAATTTGAAAAGAACCAACTAGAGCTGCCTTTGCGGTACGTTCCAAGAATAAATTGATATTATATGCAACGATTGGCAGTACTAATATGTATGATTTGGTTTCTAGAATAAGCCCAGTGTGTATAACATAAAATAGAATAAGATCTCACTCACGCTGCATGTGTATATGCTGTTTGGGCATCTTGTAGTCGGGCGGGTAGCAGGCCTCGTAAAACTCCACGTCCGACACCTGGCATACTTCTGGAGTCGGTATGATGAGGCCCGTGCCTGATATAGCCCTCTGGAGGTGATGCTCCTAAAGAAACAACAACACACTTAGAAAACACAACATTCGAAAATTTATCTTACTTCGGATTAAATGTCAGGCTATCACGCGTTAATTGTATTTGTTTGACTTAGATTATATTTAGTTCACATTATTAGGTACTAGCTTTCCGCCCGCAGCTTTGCCCGCGTGGAGTTCGTTTATATCGCGTTTCCAAGAGAACCTTTCGAAAGTCTGGGATAAAAACTATCCTATGCTCTTTCTCAAGGTCAACTCTATGTCTGTACAAAATTTCATTAAAATAAGTTCAGTGGTTCGGCGTTTAGGAGTTACTTTCGCATTTATAATATTAGTAGGGATTATATATATTTATATATATTCTTTGGAATAAAATAAATCTAACCTCATATTCGAGGTCTACAAATATCATTCCATTACATCTCCTTAGAAAGCTGGAGTACCTTATCTAATGTATATTTCTGATGCCCTACTATGCTTTCTCTCGCTGACCTGATTTGTGCTAGTTCCATATAAACCCATACATACACATTACACATGTATTACATTTTACTGGGAATATTTTGATATAAATCTTATAGTTATTTGTGATTCGTTACCCATTTTGGCTACATTCCATGCCATTCAGATAGAATGACGACAGATTGAGCTATCAATCATTGTAAAAATTATTGGACAATTAATTTCACGTGATTTCTTCTTTTAATACAGTACTTAAAAGAACCTTTTAATTTAAATCAAAGAGACTTTTAAATCGAGATAACGAATTTATGTTTTTCAATCCTTTTATAATCCGATGAAATATCTCCAAAAACTGTCATTTAAAATGCCACTCTGTGTACAAACATTCTATTGTCTCGTTGGACGTTATTGGGTAGGATTTACGGATAGACAGTTATACAAACGTCAGCTTTAATATTAGCTATTCACTCATACAACATGCAATACATTGTTTGGAAATGGAATTGGGGATAATCCATTTTAACTTACCATCACTTTGTATTAAAACTGTCGAAAAATGAAATTTCTCTATATGAAATAGTTTAATATATTTTTTTTATTTAGTTCTTTATTTATCACATCACATTTTATATAGTACTAAGTTTTCACGATGCGAATTTATCCACGGTTAATAAATGATTTGAAGTGACTGCAGTTACTGTCTTTGTAATTTTTTTAAATAAAATATGCAATGTGGAAATTTCTAGTTATTTTATATCACAAAGATTTTAATTCTAGAAAACAATCATATTATATTGAAAGATTTTATTTCATTTATATAGTGTCTTATAAGTTATAATAAACGATTTTTTATGACAGAGAACTTTTTAAGACGAAAATCAGAAAATTTTATTATATGTATATAAATTATAGTGCCTACATATCATACAAATATTTATCAAAGCGAAATATCGTTTTTTATTACTTTTGATATATTTTCTATACGGATGGGTTATGGTTTTGTTGTGGATATTTCATTAAATAAGCAAACTTTTTATTTCAACAAAATGAACATTCAGCTAAGTACTTTTACTATTAATAAAATATAGTTTACAAGTAATTTTCCCGCATTTTTTTTTCAAACTTAATACTTAAAGGTTTTCGTTTATTATATGTATATCGTCACGCATAATAGTATCAAAGCAGATTTATTACTGAAACACTGCACGCGCTCAAATTCATATCGAATTTTTGAACTTGTGGTAGGAATAATTTTATTTTATTTTTTTATTTTTCGTTTATTGGTAATCCAACAGCGTTACAGTAATTTTAAAATAATAACAATAAAGCTATAAATAGGGCCAATTTAGGATTACACAAATTTTCATTTATACAGTTACAGTTACCCGCATTGTACTGGCAAATCTAATTTTGATTCGGTACTCACAAGATGAAGAATTATGACGTCACATAATCTTAATAGCAAATTCTTACATTTTATACAATTTCATTTGATACAAACAGGCATGTATTATATATAAAGTTTAAATTTGTGGTTTCCTTTCTGAACCCATGACAATTTATATGTAAAATTTGATGGCGGTACGTTGAATGCTTAACGCGAAAAGGGTCAATCACACCGACCGCGATACCTTGCATTCAAATATAAGAAAAGATAAGAATCATTACTAAAAACCGCTCCAAATGTAGATTTTATTAAAATAAATTTATTATAAAATATCTGTTAACGAATGGAATTGGAAGTGTTTATAAATAAACAACTTATTTATTATACAAGATTTTTTTTTAATTAAGTAAGTATATGAGAATTCAATATATTATTGAATTTAATTTATATCTATAGTAAGATAAACATATTTATACGTACTTAACAATACAATAACTTTAAGTACCTGATTAATATTTATAGTTTTTGTGAAAATTATAAAAAATAAGGTATCATACACACGAAATATGTACAAGGTAAGACTATTCAGAATATATGTAAAAACACTCTTGTGAGTAAGCCATAAATAAAAAATAGTAGTTTTCACTCGATTAACCATTCTTAGCCTTTCCACATTTTCTATGACAACTTGTATGTGGTCTCAGAAAATAACTAACTGATGATTCAACATATAAATTTAATGTAATAATTAATATACAAATGAGAGCAGAATACATAATCTGATTACATTTAATTATAATTATATGCGAATTTAATGGAACACAATTTAAACCTTTAATGTGTTTTGCTAAAATATTATTGTAAGGGGAAAATACAGTTATGTTTAAAATAATTTTGAAAACCCGACGCAAAAGAAGAGGTGTTTGACGTCCATGTGTGTATGTCGGTGGCATTATAACTCTCAAATTGATCGACTGATTTTTTAAAATTTCTAAGCCCGTTTTATTGTGATGGTTTTTAGCTATGTTCAGTAAATATTGGTTCAGACTTCAGAAGTGTTAGAGTGTCAGTTCTTTCCTAAGTGATATAAACATTTTTGTCTTACGGTTACACGATCAAATGCTTCACGTTTGTCAAGTTCAATCGTGGAGACAGTGAATGTGTTCGATATTTTTATTTAATAAAATTTATTTACAACACCTTATCGTAACAAATCCAGTTTCGTCGATCCTACTAGTTACAAACCTTATAAAATAAAGTTCTTTCATTATTATTATTGTGATAAAAAATATTATACAAGAAATATTTTTAGACTACCAATAGAATAAAACAATACTCAACACATTAATCCAGACCAAATCGCGGACAGAACTAGTTTTATTACAGATTAAAATCTAATTTAGTTTTTATAATACATCCAACAAACATACATATATTATTTCATATAACACAAGTCCTGCTGTATTGAATGGTCAGCTCGTAAGCTCATTTTACGGACACCCGATTTTGAAAGGGTGCTCCCCGTATTAATATAAATTGGTTATTCGAATGCGTTCGGTTTAAATGTTGTAGCGAATCCTTTGTTTCAGGCATTGTAATTGTCCGAATCAGATATAAGACGGACTTATTAAACTAATGAATATGAAATTAATTAGATGAAAATTTTTTTTTAGGCAAAATATTATAAAATTACTACTCTAAAAACATTTTAAATCTCTCAATAATAATAATAAATAAACTAAACTATTTATTATTATGTATATGAAAATTAATATAACAAGTTGAAATGTGCATCTAATTTATTTCTACTATTTCCTGTTATTCGTTTAGGATAATAATGTTCTTTAATTTTTTAATTTAATTGCTGTAATAGGAAAGGATAACATACGTCCAAATGGCTTAAATATAACTACATAATTTTGAACTAAAACAAGGAAAATATTTACATATATAGATGTATATACAGATTCAGATTAATTCTCGGAATATATAAAGTAAGATAAGAATTAAAAGAATCAATAATACGGGTACTTTAAGAGGAAAAACACCTCATAGATAGATAAGGTACTATCAAAACATCTTTCTAATCCTACATGTAATGATTTTATTTCCCTTGTAATAATATATCCTTACTGGTTATAGATAGTAAATTATTTCATACACGTACTTTGATGTATTTTTAGTATACAGATTATAGAGTAATGTAAGCACAGATGGTGAATTACCTGTTCTAAAATATTCAATTTTATTAGATATGTTGAATATAAGTTAATGTTATAATCTATTTTATCGCACCATATATTAATCTGTGTGTGTATTGTCGTAACATAGTTTTGTCAATTGTCGGTTGATGTTTGAATAAATATACGGAGGTCATTAAAAAAGGGTTTTATTACATCAATTTATTTTAACAAGATACATACCACATCCATCATAAACTTTTTTTTTAATGTAATTTATATGAACCATTACTTAATATTATATTTACTGTATTAACAAGCCTATTCTATAGTTAAAAGAAACAAATAACTGGCCTCTCGTATATTTGTATTTCAATAGCCATATACACAGATATAAATTTAAAATTTCTATGAAGGACTAAAGAATTTTAACATTATGGTACAATATTTGTTCAGTTACAGACCAAATTAATTTTAGACGATTATGTATTTGATAGAGTGGTCTTTGGTAGGTATTAACTTTCGCTGGTCTTAGTGGTAACCTTGACATATACGTAATATTGAATTAAATTAGCACTTTATCGACAAAATATTTTTTACGAATGCGACCCATATCATAGTTCATTAAATAATTGATTTATAAATAGATAATTAATATGTCTTCAACAAGATTTTCATATATTGATAACAAATTTTGTTGCTACTTCAAATTCTGTAATTTAAGCGTAAGGTACATATTATAATTTGGGGTACTTAGTGGATCGTATCTAATGTAATACGCCAAAAATAATTAAATTTAAAACATATCTAGTAAGTACCATTGAATATAATTTAAGACGTTGAGGGAATTTGGGGGCGAATTAATAACAGTACTTATAACTTAATTGATCTCTTCATTAAAAATTTTAGCAAAATATATATTATATACTGGCATTCCGACCGCAGCTTCGCCCGCGTGGGTTTCTGTTATATCGCGTTTCAAG